GTCAGAAACAGGAAAATTCAGCAGATTACATGTAGCAAAAAGTCAGTTAAAGACTGCAGATTACATTTAGTAAACAGTCAGTTAAAGTCAGCAGATTACATTTAGTAAAAAGTCAGCTAAAGTCAGCAGATTACATTTAGTAAAAAGTCAGCTAAAGACTGCAGATTACATTTAGTAAAAAAAGTCAGCAGATTACATTTAGTAAAATGTCACAGTTAAAGTCAGCAGCTTACATTTAGTAAAAATCAGCAGATTACATTTAGTAAAAGTCAGCAGACTTGTAAAAAGTCTGGGTTAGTCAGCAGATTACACTTAGTAAAAAGTCATAATTAAAGTCAGCAGATTGCATTTACTAAAAGTCAGACAAAGTTAAATCAGCAGATTACATTTAGTAAAAGTCAGAATTAAAGCCAGCAGATTACATTTAGTAAAAGTCAGACAAAGGTAAAGTCAGCAGATTACATTTAGTAAAAGTCAGAATTAAAGTCAGCAGATTACATTTAGTAAAAGTCAGATTTAAAGTCAGCAGATTACATTTAGTAAAAGTCAGATAGTCAAAATCAACTGATTTGATTGCCATCCTTTCATATGCAGGATCCCCCGTGTGGGTTCCGGGGCCCTGTTGTGGGGAAAACAAGAATAGACCCACTGCCTCCCCAAAAGCATGTCGTAAGAGTCGACTAACTGGGGAGCTTCCTTTGAAGTCGGAGTGCATCTGCCGGAGAGGCAAGGAACCAGCAGTCTACATTCAATTGAATCAGATCTGTAAAACTGATGCACACGCAACACTCAGGTTCTGGAGCAGGACTGCAGTCCAGAAGTGGACGAACAACCAGAACTTTACGCCAGAGTGTACAGCTGGTGAAGGCGAAGAAGAAGAAGAAGAAGATATGCAGGATTTAACACACACATATATATATATATATATAGACAGAGAACAGCTGAGTTTTATAGGACGTTTATAGAATTCTGACTGTAAATCTTAGCACATTATGCATATTCTCACATGGTATCTTGAAGGAACAATAAGACCCACCCACACTGCACTATAGGTTACATTATTACTGCCGGGTGCCTTAATAAACAGTGTTGTAAGGATGAACAAGGGTTTCTGGCATTTGCTCATGTTTGATTCTTGCTTTAAAAGTGACTCACCGAATCACTGGGGTGTTATTTTTCAGAATGAAATCCTGGACTGTTACAGACAGGTTCTAAGAATATCTTGGGTAAAGAAAAGAACAAATGCATCCATACTTCAAGAGCTGAATATTAAAAAGGGGTTGGCTAGTAAAGACAATAAAACAAAGAAAATTGAAATATTTTGGTCACTTGAAACGTCATGGAAGTCTAGAGAGAACAATAATGGAGGGGTATATGCCTGGGAAGAGAGGAAGAGGAAGGCCAAGGAGAAGATGGGTGCAGGATGTGGCAGATGATCTCCAGATGGGTGTATCAGACGCAGGACATCTTGCTCGGGATAGGAAGGTTTTCCGGAGGGTTGTTATGGCAGCGAGGTTCCGCGAGGGACATGCTACTGAATGAATGAATGAATCCTGGAATATTTGTTGTCACAATAATTTGTAAAGAAAAAAAAAAAAAAAACCACACAATGTATATTGTATAAAATGGTAAAATCCTATCAGATAATTCAGCTAAAAGAATAGTTGTGCGTCATTTTAAGGAGATTGCAAACAATCCTAGCATGTCTGTGTTGGCTGTTTGTGGTTTTACTAGATAATTTTACATTCCGTAGTCTGCCATTGCTATCTGAAAGGTCAGATCTTGATACCATTGTTGAAATCAATGCAAAGCGATCTTCTGCCAAATTGCCCACAACTGGTTTACAAACCGCACACACAGCCTCTAAACAACAGATGCTGATGTTCATCCGAAAGACACCATAAATAAATATTGCTAAATCAAGACTTATTTCTCAGTGGCGGTTCAGTGTGCCCCATTTTGGGGGAAAACAAGAATAGACCCATTGGCTCCCTGACAAGCAGGTGGTAAAAGTTGACTAATCCCCCGTGTGGGTTCCGGGGCCCCATTGTGGGGAAAACCAGAATATACCCACTGCCTCCCCAAAAGCATGTCGTAAGAGTCAAATAATTGGGGAGCTTCCTTTGAAGTTGGAGTGCATCTGCCGGAGAGAGGCAAGGAACAAACAGACTGTATTCAAGAGAATGAGATCTGTAAAACTGATGCACACGCAACACTCAGGTTCTGGAGCAGGACTGCAGTTCAGTAGTGAACAAGCAACCAGAACTTTCCGCCAAAGTGTACAGCTGGTGAACGCGAAGAATAAGAAGAAAGTTGACTAATTAGGGATGTTTCCTTTAAGGTCAGATTGCATCTGCCTAAGAGGAGGGGACCCCCAGTCTGCATATAAATAAGCCAGATCTGAAAATGTTAATGTTCCCCTGCTCACCCTGTAGCAATTAATGCAACTAAAATAGCAATATTTATTATTTTCTTTAACATCACGTTAAATATTGGTGTGAATTGTTTGTATGCATATAGTTATATACGTTTAAAAAAAATTTGAATTGCTGAAATTGTACATGTATTGCTGTATGGTTTTAATAAAGGTTGAATATTTGCGGTGAATATTTTAATCTTAGTCTTAATACATTAAGACATAGTCTTACCACATTAAGACATACACAGTCTGACCAGATTTGACAAAGTCTGAACACATTAAGACATAGTGTTACCACATTAAGACACACAAGCCTATCACATAAGGACACACAGTCTTACCACATTAAGACACACAGACTTATGACATTAAACCACACAGAAGTATCTCATTTGGACACACAGTCTAATCACACTGAGATAGCCTTACCACATGAAGACACACAAGTCTTACGACACTAGGACATAGCCTTACGACATTAAGACACACACAGTCTGACCAGATTTGACAGTCTTAACACATTAAGACATAATCTTACCACATTAAGACACACAGACTTATGACATTAAACCACACAGAAGTATCTCATTTGGACACACAGTCTAATCACACTGAGAGAGCCTTACCACTTGAAGACACACAAGTCTTACCACACTAGGACATAGCCTTACGACATTAAGACAGTCATACCACATTAAAATACAGTCTTATCATATCAAGGCACAGTATTACCACATTAAGATATGCTTTCTTTCAACTCTACACCTCAAACAAACACAATGCAAGTTACTTCATAAATCATTTATTTCAACACAATAATCACTAGAAAAGTGTAACAAGCATGACAGACATCACTGAGACTAATTATTGGGGGAACTACATGTCAAACGACAGCAGCCCTCTATAAATATACCTATGAAATTAGTAACAGTGTATTATTAATATTTACAATGTATTTATGTTGGTTTCAGAGTAACAGTTGGATTGAAAGAAAAAACAATGTCAAAGGAGTTCCTAAATAATCAATTTTATCCTAATTCACCTTTAAAACAGTATGTTATGTTGTGGTGTACAGGTGGGCTACGATATCGGCATCTTTTTGACCTAACGCATTCTATTCAGCAAACCCTGAATTATTTGCCATTTATGATAAGCTTGTTAGACAGGCAGTCAGTCTATTCTTTATTCCATCCAAAATGGCCACCAAACTTTTGGCTATCAGACTTTTTCTTAGTGTTGACCGGCTGTAAACTCTGGCAGAAAGTTCTGGTCGTTGGTCCACTTCTAGACTTCAACCTTGTTCCAGAACTTGAGTTCTGAGCTCACACAGTGTTTTACAGATCCGGCTTATTTGTATGCAGCCTGCTGGTTGCTCGCCTCTCAGGCGGATATGATCCGACTTTTAGAGGACAAATCCCTAGTTAGTCGCCTTTCAGGACACACTTTTTGAAAGAAAGCTGGGGGGGGGGGGGGGGGGGGTGTCCATTTCTCCCACCCTCTCTTCCCCCACTCATTGGGGCCCACATGGGTATGGCCACGAACGTAGATTTATTATTCTAAACATTCTATCCATAACAAACCAACAGTTAAGGTATACAATCTTCAATTATGCAAATGATCATAATAAAGAAACATGTGCTAGAATTTGCTGTAAACCACACATGACAAGTAAAAGCATAGGATAGCATCCTGAAAAGAAAAAAAAAAACCTTCAAAGGTAGTAATCCCAACCAGAACCCTGAAACAGCAATCACTGTTTTTAAAGACACATCAGTCAGAAATGAAACGAGGCATGTGAAAGATACGATGAAAGCTGAAATGATAACATACAAATGCCTGGCAAATTTTGATACTTGACATCAGTACCAGCGAAACAAGCCTTTTCACATGAACTCCAACTGATATTGTCTGAAAATCATGCGATTACAAAACACTTCTTCTACATCATTCCAAGCCCCCTGAGGCCTAATGCTGCAGATATCACAGCAGAACAAAAACCTTCTTCTTCTTTCATTTGCTTGAAATAGATTATCTATATCTGCAATGCTGTCTCTAGTATGAACTTCACTGTCTTTTGTAATTCACCCAGTGACCCATAAAGTTTGTCTTGCACCCGTGTTTTTCTTGGCCCAAATTATTTCCTTGATATAGTGTATTTGGAAGTCTTGGAGGATGTGTCTCAGGAGCCAATCCACATGTGCACATCCACCTTTTCACATGAACTTATTTGATATTGTCTGAAAATCTCCTCATGATGATATGAATCTCCTTCTCAACTTCAGCATTCTAAATTCTTGAGGTTTATTACTGCAGATATCACAGCACAACAAACTTTCTCACATGAACTCATTTGATATTCTCTAAAAAAAATCCTGCGATTACAATATGCTTCTTCTTCGGCTTTCCAAGCCCCTGAGGTCCATTGGTACATAAATCACTGCAAAACAAGCCTTTTCACATGAACTCATTTTATATTGTCTGAAAAACCTGCAACTACAATACTTTTTCTTCTTCAGCATTCCAAGGCCTTGAGGTCCATTGCTGCAGAAACCACTGCACCAGTGATCACTATACTGGAAGTTTAAATAAGTCCCTGCATTTCTTTCATGAACTGATCGTATGCATCATCCTTTGTCTTAGGCTGGGCTGCAGGTGTAGGCTGTGGTTTAGCTTGGGCACCAATGATTCTCTGCTCCTCCTCTTTACCTGTAAATAGGCCAACAAATTTGTGCTAAATCTCAACAGACAAGAACAGGAAATATTTACCCAAAAGTTAGTTGTGTAATTTTTTTTCAGGACTCTGCAGAATCAATCTTACCATTTTTTATATGGCTGTTTGTGATTTTACTAGGCAATTTTATGCTCAGTAGGTTGACACTGCTTTCTGAACGGTCTCTCGATACCATAAAACTGTAGAAAACAACATTGAGACAAGGCTGTCTGCTGCCAAACTTCCAGCAGCTGGGACCAAACCTGGCATCTTGGAACAAACAGAGTAAACGCCAACATATTTATTTAAACATATCAAGCCGAAGTCAACTTCATGATAGATAACTGCAGCACCCCTACAGAACAGCTTGAGGGCCTGGACATCCATTTCCCTTGCAGTACTCCCTATAGAACAGCTTGAGGGCCTGGACATCCATTTCCTTTGCAGCACTCCCTATAGAACAGTTTGACGGCCTGAACGTAATTTCCCTTGCATTTCCCCCTTAGGCATAGGGGACATATGGTGCTGGACCTATATTTTACAGATGATTCAGAACTTGGCGGGTGATGTGGTCAACAAAATGCCAGCCAACTTTACTTCTCAGAATTTTACCTGGTATCCTTTTCAGGCTGGGTCAACTTGGAAGCCATTGTCAAATAAGAAATTTAAAAATCTGGCTTGATGTATATTCAAACCCATAACCTTTGGGCCCTCAGGCGATCATCTAGCTGCTACATAGCAGCTCCCTAATTAAAACTAATATTAAACTTAAAATGTTTCATTCTAATGTCAAATCAAATGTTGCAATGACTGGAAAGATTAGCAATAGAAGGCACTGTACCGCGTAAGAGAATCAAAGGCAGACCAGTGCAAAAGTAGGCATAGAACATAAGAAAACACCCAAGGCAGGACAACGGGTGGGGGAGTAAGTTTCTTTCAGACATGCTGGTAGCAACATGATGATGACGACACACACAAAAATGTAAAAACAAAGCACACACATGCAACAAAGGATGATGTGGAAAAACCACTTGAAAAATATGCACTCAAGTTCTAAGGGTTCTGAGACCCCAATAGGGGAAAGGGGAGGGAGGAGAATAGACCCACTGCCCACAAACAACATGGCATAAAAGGCAACTAATTAGGAGTGTTTCCTTTAAAGTTGGAGTGCATATGACTGAAAGAAGGGTTTATAACAAAATTCAACAACTTTTTTCAAGTTTCAGGGATTTCTCAAGATATTCTGGCATTTTCAAGGTTGTGTTGTGCATAAAGTGTAACAAAATTGTGCACTTGTACATTGGCAAACCTAAAGATGTATAGTGAGCCGACGCACACACATGCATAAATATATGCACACATACACCCAGAGGTAAGGAACAAACAGTCTGCATACAGACAAACCAGGTCTGTGAAACGTACGTACACCGAAAACTCAAGTTCTGAAACAAGACCAAAGTTGAGAGGCAGACAAACAAGCAGACCTCTGTGCCAGAGTTTACAGCCGGGGAATGCCAAGAAGACGAACAAGTACTCACCAGAAGCTCTCAGTCTGCCCTTCTGGTCCCGAATCTCTCTCTTCACTTTCAGAGCCGTCGGCATGAACCTGGTCACATCTCCCATCTTGCTCTTGATCTGTGGCTTGGCCTGGAATGGTGATCCTTGACTGCCCAATGACAGCCGCCGTATCCTCACTACTTCGAGGCCGGATACTTGGAGGTGCACTCAAAATACTAGGGTTGATTGGTCCCATCATCGGCATGCCTCCTTGTGGAGGCGGCATTCCTGGCATTCTCATCATACGCATTGGAGGAGGCATACCTGCAAATGAAAGGATTTTCTTAAAAAATAACACTGATGCTGAGCAGATACAGTGCATACCCATATGGGATCTGGGGGCCCAACTGTGAAAAACAAGAAAACAGCCTCCCCAACGTTATTTGTGTAGATTTGTGCATGTTTTCTGCTTCCCTATTTTGGCTTTTTAGTCACATTTAACTGGAAAACTCCCCAACAAGCATGTCGTAAGAGTCAACTAACTGGCAGCTTCCTTTGAAGTCAGAGTATATCTGCCCATGAGGCAAGGAACAACCAACTGCACATATATAAGCTAGTAAAACGGATGTACACGCAAAACTCAGGCACTGGCATAAAGCCAGATTCCAAATGGACGAACAACCAGGACTTTCCGCTGGAGCTTACAGCCGGTGAACGAAGAAGAAGAAGAAGAAAAAGAAGAAGATAAAAGTGCAGACTGCGTAAGGCCATCTCAGATTTGTTTGAATTTCTACTATGAAGAACAATTTGTTTATCCTCCAGCAATTTTTCTTGCTTGAATTCTTATCTGGATAAGAGGAATTTCTTATAAGAAGAGACATTTCTTGGATCCCCGATAAGTTCTTCTTATCAGGTCTGTATTTATCATGGATCTTCAAGGTCCACATTTCCATATCAATCATCAGTACCAATGTGATAATGTCGGGTGCCCCCCCCCCCCCCCCCCCACCCCCCCAGCTATGATCCGAGGAAAATCTACTGCTCCTAGGGATTGAGCATGGGATCACTGCACTGTTGAGCACTGCTAGTCAAAGGCAGTCTAATACCTGAAATTTCATATACAGTAGCTAAAAACTTGAAATAGATAATACTATGGAGACCATCACAGGGATATGCTAATAGGGAAAGCAGCTGTGTTGGGCCAGCAAGGTGCAGATCTGCAGCCTGGCAAACCACAAAAAAAACTATCAACTGTCCTTTTTAAGGCAAATGCAGCAGAAGAATATCAAAACTGAAGACTAGGCTCTCAACCAACTCAAGCCAAGTCCTGTGTAGACTTGCTCTAGATTAAATAAGTGTTGCAGCTAACGGCTTTCTGTCAAATAAAACTAAGTTTAACACAATCCTTCTTAAGCATGTCATACAACATGTAAAATAGGTCACAGTGTCACCATTCTGTGCTTTGTTTAATGGCTTGACGTAACAAATAGGTGAGTTCAATATTTACAGCATGCAATTTTCTTATGTAGACGTCTTCTGTCCGCCACCTTGATGTTTCTGTGCTTCCCTTATTATGTCACCTGGACAACTCTGTGCTTCCTTCAAGTATCAGCAACATACGTGCAGAGGATGTGCTAGAAGAAGACATGTTTATCATGCCTGAACAAGCAACAAAAACAACAAACGTGGGCGAGCGGTTTATTCAGTATTACACTACCCCCCCCCCCCTTTTTCCCCCTATACTTCTCCAGATATATTTGTGTTGCCCATTTAATGAGTCAACCTCAGAATCAATATGAGTTGTGTGGAGGACAGAAAATCCCATTACAACTGGCAAATAACTCTTCCTGCCCTATCCAGCTTTGAAAGTATTAAATTCCGAGCAGTTACTTTCATTAAATAAAAAGGTGGATTATGGATCTCAGTAAAAAGCAATAACAATGTAGGGAAGAAGCAGTCAATTCTGCGCCTCCCCAGGAACTGAAGAAAAAAGGGTTACGACCCCATAGGATACCCCCCCCCCCCCCCCCAATCGTATGTAAGTCACTAATACACTGTTAACAACTTTTTTAAAAACATCTACATTTATTATTTTTTTTGGGGGGGTGGGGGGGTCATTATACAAAGATATATAAATGGAGTAATAAACGGAGTTAAGCATTGAATAGAATACAGGTCAGAAAAAAAAATATCCACCAGGTAATTAATGTTGCGACCTGTGACCTATATCAATATGGTTTACAGAAAAAAAAATTGTCATCTTTAACACACACACACAAGAACTAACTGGTTCACATAGAAACCCCCTAAATGCCAATTGTCATGACTATATTCACATCCAAACTTCCTAAAAGCTGCACAGGCGTGAACTCTGTCAACAGCCTTACCTATATCTCTCGTAAACAGGTCATTCTATTTAAGTCGGAAAAGTGACATTAAAGGGGAACTGGATCTAAAAGGAAGTGACAGTTTTGCAGCTTCCCAGGGTGACAGCGTTAAAGCAATAACCAAGCTAAAGCAAGTTAATCCAATAATTGGATGGAACACAAAAGAAGAACTTGTAAGATTGATTGATCTGGTATTATTTCATCTTTCCAGACAATAGTTTTATACTGCACTATGAGAAGGCAGGGGTCTCACAGCCTGTGGTGATGGTAAGTGTGACTAGCAACACCCGCACGCGCTAAGAAAAGTCTTCCACAATTATAGCATGGGATATCAGGACCTATCTGTAGGAAATAACCCCCAAAAGCATGGTGAGTGGCTTAGCACTAAAGGGGTCGAACCCATACTAATATAATAAGAAATAATTGCACTAACCACCCCACCACTATACAGCTCTGAATGCGTCAAGAGTATCAAAATTAACATCATTTCAGTGAGGTCACAGATAATTAATACACGAGATAGCGGACTACAGAACAGCTGGGATGAGAAAAAAGGTTAGTTGCGTATCCTTTACAGGACGTTGCAGAACCAACCCCAGCAGCCCCTGGCTGTTGTGTGATTTCTCTGGGCAAACTTATGTCCAGTAGTTTGCCATTGCTTTCTGGACGGTCGGCTCCCCTGATACCACTGTCAAAACCAACGCAAGGCGCATGGCCCGCAGCTGGGATCGAACCCGGCACCCCGGCATTACGAAACGTTCGCATCGACTTAGCCACAGAGCCGACGGGATGAGAAAGCAGAGGGAACTTAAACTTCAGTTCAAAAAAAAAATATAAAGGTCCCTTTACAAACCAGTGGCACACTGGACATATAATAAACAAATAAATAAATAAACTGTTCTATCTATCTACGAGTGCCAATCAACACATTGACTGGACATATAAGGCTCTCAATGGGTAATGTGGTCAACATAATGTTGTTCACCTTTTACTTCGCAGGACTTCAGTTGGTACCATTTAAAACTGGGTAGACCTGGGAGCCTAGGTCCCGTTTGAAATAAAAAAATCTGGCACCGTCTGGATTTGAACCAATTACCTTTGTATCCATAGCCACTCCACGAATGCAGCCCCCCCCCCCCCCCCCCCCCCCCCAACAGTAAATCCACATTTACATTATCTGACAGCTTTTCTGAACACATGCTTGGCTATCAAAGTATCCCACACAGAAAGTTCTGGTGGAACTGGAATTCAGTTACCTGGACACATCCTTCAGGACTGCCCTATTTAGACACATCTTTTAAGACAGGACTGCCCTACAAGTGCCGAACCTGACCAAGGTATGCTGTACTGAAGCAGAAATTTTGGGGTACTAATACTGATGCAGACAGGTTAATGGACTCTTTATCCTGCCAATACTATAGCATATATAGTAAAACTAAAGACTTCAACACTAAGATGAAGAAGAACTGAAAATAGAGTACAAAAATATTATTTATATTAAAAGAGAAATAATAAACAAGAGCACAGAAAAGATAAAAAGATAGGGTATGAAACAACTTTGGACAACTGAAGTATCTATGTGTGTTCCAGGGCCCCCATTTGGGGCGGGGGGAATAAACCCACTGCTTAACTGGGGTGTTTCCGTCAATTTTACAGTGAATCGGCCTGTTCCGCCGATGTTAGAGTGCATCGACCTGTTCCGTTGATGTTAGAGTGCATCGACCTGTTCCGTCGATGTTAGAGTGCATCGACCTGTTCTGTCGATGTTAGAGTGCATCGACCTGTTCCGTCGATGTTAGAGTGCATCGACCTGTTCCGTCGATGTTAGAGTGTATCGACCTGAAAGGCGAGGAAACAAGTCTACAGAAAAATAAGCCAGATCTGTAAAATGGATATGGACATAAAACCAAGCTCTGCAGCAAGTCCAGAAGTGGACAAACAACCAGAACTTGCCACTAGATTTTACAGCCGGTTACTGTGAAGAAAAAGACAAATGAAGAACAATTTACACAGTGCATCAGAAAGACCACAGAGATAATCCTGATATCTCCACTACATTTAGCTGAGGTAACTGAAGGCAGAAAAAGAAGAGGAAGAATATTTAAGGCAAGTACGAACCTAGTGGTGGTGGAATACGCAAGGGTGGTGCTCTGAGGTTTGGCGGCAAGCCTGGCGGAGGTCCTGGAGGCAAGCCCTGTGGTCTTCCTGGAGGCGGCCCTGGTGGCATCAGTCTTGGAGGAACTCCTCGAGGTGGCGGGGGACGCATGAACATGGGTGGTGCACCTGGTGGAGGACCTGCCAGAAACATTCTATGCATTAGATGACAAATAAAACTAGCATTGCTTTTTTTAACAACAACAAGAATCAGGTCAGATTATCGGTATAGTACATGACAAACAGACAGTAGCATATATACTGTTTGTACTACAGAATTGGATTAATAAATTAATATGCATATGTATTTACAACTTACATGCTATTTGGAGCCAGTTTTAACACAGGTACAGAATTATGAACAAGCCAAACAATGTCTTAAGGCCTCAGAGATATGGTTTTACAGCAGAACGCTTAAAATTCCTTGGATAGCCAAAATGAGACATCTAGATGTTATAAAAGAGACTAGAGCCTGAAGACAACTACCACAAATATCGAGACAGACATAATTTTTATGGCCATGTTATGTGAAGAGCGTAATTGGACACACATAACACACAAACAAAATTACAATAACCGCAATGAGATTCCTACGAAGGGCTCTCAATATAATATTAAGTGATATGATGAAATCCTAAGGAAAATTGGCATACCAGCACCTCTTGATTTCATTAGAAGACAACAGGTGAAATGATTTGGCCATATAACACGGATGTCAGCAGACAGTATACCACAGCAAGCCATGATATACAGACTAGATGGGAAGCCAAGAAGAGGTCGACCATGCAAGCGATGGACAGAGGGACTTACAGTCCATGAGAGTCCCAATTTACGAAGCACACAAACCGGCTCTTTCCCATAAATGATACTTCGCCTCAACACCTCTATAAGAGGATCAATTGAGATGAGATGAAACTGGAATATTTTGTGAAGATTTGTAGAAAGAGAGACAGAGGAAGACAGCGTGAAAAGACTTCTGACAGGATGTTGATGTGACATGCAAGGGTTTTGGAATACAGACTCATACATGCTATTGAAATTATCAGCTGCCGAGAGATCTGACCAACACTGCCAGGTAAAAAAAAAAATTCAGTTTCAAAATATAATAAATGACACTACTCATTAAAAACCTCTTTTTTCCTTGTAATGTTTCTGCTACTAGGACTGTATTATGAAGGATTAACAAGCAGTGACTCAAAGAGATATGATCAAGTTGAGAATCCAACAGAAGCAAATCACAAAAATCACAAAAATCTCTTTTAACCCCCAAAGCGGTTATATTAAGGCAACAGGCAGTTAAAAGAAGCAACCCGAACTTCAAATATGGGTGAGTTTCTTTGAATCCTTGACTGAGACTAAATAAATAAAATTAAAAAAAAACTTTCTGGCTTCTTGATTAAAAAAACAAAAAAAAAAACAGAATTTGTTACTCCCATTTTAAAAACTTCTTCAGCATGTGGAACTTTCCTGAATCAGTTTAATAAGTATTTCTGGCTGTTAAATAGGCCAAGTAACTGACAATTAATAAGTAACTGACATTTTAAGACATCCAAACATAAGTATGACTACAAAGAAAAGATCATTAAACAGCATATGCGCTGAGCCACCAGTGACAAAGTTGGACATTATCAAAGGCTAACCTATGTAAAACTATCACCTGTGGAATTAGATGCCTGAGGAAAGCTGCCAACTTAACAATCCGAGGAAAAGTAAGAAATGATACTAACAGATAGACTGTAGGAACAACATCATGCACTAAATTTACTGTGAAATGCAACATCAAATTGTTTGGTCATTTCATCAAAATGCAGGCACAACTACCAACAAAACAGCTACACATGAAAAGATCTGACGCCAAAGCAAGAAGTGACCTTGGGAGAATATGGACTTATGACACTGGTGTTTTGTTTAATTTCTTGCAGTACAAGATGAACCAGGGTTCATCATCGTACGTGCCAATAAATGTAAGCTGTCATGTTTCACCATCCCATTTGATCATGGATCAGGCCAGTATTCTTGCCTCATCCAACATATACAGCTAAGCTATATATTTATCTCTGTGCTTTCCCCTTAATCTTTTTCCGTCAACCTTACCAGATGTACCAAGTTCTCGAGTCTCTTCCTTCTCAGGTCAGAAAAACAGTAATTTGCTACATTATGACTTACCATCTGCTGGGAGGAAAACTGTCTTGTTTGTTTTTCAATCATTTTATTCTCTGCGCTGTTCTCAAAAACAGAAACTCAGCAAGAAACATTAGAAGAAAAAAAAACACATACCAGGTGGCATGCCAGGCATATTGACCAGATTTGGGGGCAGGCCTGGCGGTGGACCTGGTGGCTGAAGTTTCGGTGTGAGGTGTCTGTTCTCTGCCTCCATTTCTGCTTCTTCAATCAGCTTTGCTGCTGAAATGGCTGCAGCATCTTCTTCTGTCAGCCTGTCAACGGGGTCTTCTAACCCAGGTGGTCGGTCATCCAGCTGAGAGATCTCCACCTTCTTTTGTGCAATCTCTCTTTCTTTTGACTGAATTCTTTCTTCTTCTTCCTGGAAGGCACAAATATTAGCTGTTTAATAATTTGCTTTCCAAGAGAAGAAACTTCATGAACACAAACCTTCATCATTTTATAAATCTGGGGATACAGAGGTGTTGAATCACAGGTGGTGGCGTAAATTCTTCTTAGTGTTCATGGGGCTGTAAACTCTGGCAGAAAGTTCTGGTTGTTCATTCATTTCTGAACATTTGTATTGTTCCAGGAGTTGAGTTTTGCAGCATTTGAGTTTTACAGATCTGGCTTATTTGTATGCAGACTGTTGGTTCCTCACCTCTCACACACATATACACTTTGACTGAAGGAAACTCCCCTAATTAGTTGCCTTGTAGGTAAGGAGGCAAAGAAGAAGGAACAGGGCCAAAGTCTGGAAGTGGACAAATATCCATAAGTTTACATCCGGTAAAAGCAAAGAAGAAGGAACAGGGCCAAAGTCCTGAAGTGGACAAATATCCATAAGTTTACATCCGGTGAAAGCAAAGAAGAAGGAACAGGGACTAAGTCAGGAAGTGGACAAATATCCATAAGTTTACATCCGGTGAAAGCAAAGAAGAAGGAACAGGGACTAAGTCCGGAAGTGGACAAATATCCATAAGTTTACATACGGTGAAAGCAAAGAAGAAGCAGCAGAGCCACGGTTCAGAAGTGGATAAACCTGCAGGAGTTTACAGCTTGAGTGGCTCACTGACAGGATAATAACACAGGGCTCTCATGTGGGAGACCAGGGTTCTAATCCTAGGTAACGGGAATGTTTTCTCCTGGGAGCAAAAATAAAATCCTAACCTGCACAGTCTGTGGCGACAACACTAGCTGGGTGGCCTTAAATCAATAAGCTTAATTTACCCCCCCCCCCCATTGCGAAAGTGGTAATTACAAGCAGTAATATGGCTTAAGCATTGCGAACGAGCTTTGTCTTGCAATGGTGGTACTGAGAGCTGACCATTCAGATAGCAATGGCAAACTGCTGAACGTAAAACTGCCTAGAAAAACCCCAACACGAAAAAAATTCTGGGATTGGTACTCCTGTAAAGGATTTCCAAGTAAATTAAAAAACAAAATGGTTTAGAGGCTCAGTGTATGGTTTAACAAGTGACCTTTGAGTTCGTTTTCCGCTGCAAGCAGCTAACAATTTTTTTAAACATAGTGTGTTCATACAGTATACTAGTTCCATGCCCTAGAAGAGACAAGAGCTACGTTTCTTAAAATCATGTTGCTACAGGTGGCACCTTTCCAGGTGAGACACTGTTATACTGTGCTACGGAAAAAGCATGGGAATAACTGCCATTGCCTTTACGGGCCGCTCAGTGAATTACAAAAGACAGTGAAATTCATACTAGAGACAGCTTTGCAGATATAGATAATTTATTTCATGTGAACGAAAGAAGAAGAACTGCCAATGGTAATGGAGAGCCTGACTAGCAAGACCTGCCCCCACAGTCAGAAAGTCTTCTGTCGGATCAAAATATTTCAGGACCGTTACTGCCAACATGTATTTAATGTGCTTCTTCTTAGGAATTCAGCTCTCAACCTTTCTACAATCATTTATGTTTCCCCTATTCCCATTCCCTTCCTGATTTTCCCCACTCCATGCAACACAGTTCGAGGCGCTTTGTTCCTATCAGTCTACCTTAATACCTGTATCATTCATGTCCTGCTCTTGCACACATTTTTATATCCCATCTCTACCCATCTGTAATTCACCACTGAGGATGTCCTTGGGGTCTGTACCATACTTAGCCAGCCACCGGAGCCTTTAGAGGCTCAGCACTGAAGAAAACCGTCGTGATACCTGTTCTTTCCATACCTGCAATTGTTAATCACCCAGTCCCCTGTGTGGGTTCCGGGGCCCTATTATAGGGAAAACAAGAATAGACCCATTGCCTACCCAAAAGCATGTTGTAAGAATTGACTAATTAGGAGCTTCCTTCAAAGTCAGAGTGCATCTGCCTGAGAGGCAAGGAACCAACAGTCTGCACAGATGTATCAGATCTGTCAAATGGATGCACACACAACAATCCGGTTCTTGAACAGGACTGCAGTCTAGAAGTGGACGAACAACCAGAACTTTCCACCAGTGTACAGCTGGTGAATGCAAAGAAGAAGAAGAATCACCCAGTTGAAACAAATGCGTGTTGAGCTGCTCAGTACTGAAGGATTTAACAAAAACAAAATATCTACAACCCACCAATTTATCCAAAAGTCTGATCCTTCTCACTTCATCCTCCTCATCATCTGATGACGGCGGTGATGTATCGGACATTGAAGATACAGACGAAGAAGACGATGTAGAACTGGTCTCATCTTTTTCAAACTCTTGTGTGTCTTGGCCAGCCATTTTTAACATCATAGCCTGAAGAGCAGAAACTTTCTTTTTTCCTGTATCTGACCTTTTACTTTCGGGATCTTTCCTTTTTGTCTTATCTTTCCTTTTCACTCCTCTTTTAGCACTTCTATCATTACCATCACTATCCTCATCATCACTTGACCTCCGATAATCGTCATCGTCATCATCATCTTCATCATCAGCAAATCGAATGCGTCTAGATTTCACTGGAAAAGAAACATATTAGATGTTGTTACATAAAGTGTGGCTGGTATAAACATTTTTAAAAGAAAAAATGGTTTAGAACGAGATCCAAAAAAAAAAAAAAAAAAATATGAACATTCTATTAACCAAAAAAATGCTTAAAAAAAACAAACATTATTTACAGTTTACTTTTACTGTTAACTAAAACTGAAACACAATTAGAAGGAAAAGATATGTACTCTGGCTTCAAAACTATGAGAATTAGTTAACACAAACAAATCACAAGAACGAGAAGTGATAAATGAAACATCCAGAAAAAAAAACAAGCCATACCAGGGTATTCATCTGGCTCAGGGATTGAGTCCAACAGGTCATCTGGATGATCCAAGTCCACATCTACTCTCCCAAGATCAATGCCTGTAGCAGAAATACAATACAGTAAAACAATAGCCATTTTTAAATTCAGCACCTTTCCAAAAGCATTAACTTATTCACCCCAGAAACCCTTGAGAGGGGAGAAAAAAGCACAGGTCACATCGTTCATAAATTTTAGTTAACTTGTTTATATAAAGTTTAAAAAAAAAAATAGTCAAGGACCCCTTTCCATGCCTTCAGGCATATAGGGCTAGACCGATATTTTATAGACCAATCAGCACTTGGTGGGTGATGTGGTCCACATCACACTGGCCGCCTTTCTTCCCAGGACTGCACCTGATACCCACTCAAGGCTGGGTTGACCTGGGAGATAAGGTCAGCTTTTGAGAAATCCCGGCTCTGCCAGGACCCGAACCCACAACCTTCTGATCCACAGGTGAGCATTTAGCAGCTACACCGCGGCGCCTCCCACTTATTTATTAACATTTAAAAAATGTTGTTTTAGAAATATATGATGGGGATTAATCAGTAAACATAGATGAAGCATCAAAATTAAATAACACAGTGCCGTGGGCCTAAATAAATTATTCATATGGTGGCTCATGCTGTAACCCTGATTATCTCAGACTAAGCGGGAATTATCTTCTTCTTCTTCGCGTTCACTGGTTGTAAACTCCGGGAACTTCTGGTTGTTTATCCACCACTGGGTCTGGTTCCAGGACCTCAGAGTTGTGTGCACATCCGTTTAACATATCTGACTAAACTGTATGCAGATTTTTGGTTCCTTGCCTCTCAGGCAGATGCACTCCGACTTCGAAGGAAGCCCCCAACCTTCAATTAGTCGACTCTTACGGCTTGATTGTTGGGGAGTCAGTGGGTCTAATTTTGTTTTCCCCATAACTGGGCCCCGAAATCCACAAGGGGAGGGGGGATTATATCTTTTCGTTGTTTAAAAAAGCAATTTATCATAATAAACAAAGCTATTGTTGGTATAATAATCATATCTGCCCTCTTAAACACTGCACAGGTGCAAACACAACCAATGCTATTCTCTAGACTTGTTGGGGCTGACTGATGCACCCATGCCTGTTTAGTGCTCAGGGATTTGTAGCGGACGGCACTGCAAGATCAGCAACATCTCAGGGCCAGAAAGTTGAATTTTTTAGCTATCAACATTTTCCATGCATCTACTCCAGCGTCTGTTATGAATAGGACGGTGCTCTTGAGGTTTTCAATAATGCGCCATAGTTTGTTCTGCAGAGTCGCTCTTATGGCCAGTTTTTTTTTTACTTTTTTGACTGGTGTGATCTAAATTTATAGTCTTGTTATTATTCTAAAAATTCTGATTTGTGCATTTCTACTAAGTCTGCTTATACTTCTCAAACCAATAACACGAACAAACATACAAGGTCCGACAATTAAGTATTGAGACTAATTCCATAACAATTAAAATAATCAACAGTTGAAGATATAACCTGTATTTTATTCAAAGTAAGCCCCTTGTGCATTGATACAGCAAGTGGCATGACCTAACAAACACTGGAATGACGTCTGTAGTTCTTCTGTCGTTATGGCCCTTAAAGTCAATGTTACTGCCCTTTGGATGTCATCAATATCGTTGAAGAAGCGTCCTTTCAATCGTAACTTTAATTTTGGGAATAGAAAATAATCACAGGAAGACAAATCTGGGGATAAGGGTGGAAGGCTGAGAACACACACTTGTTTTGGGGCCAACAATTCTTGTTTTGATGATGTCAATTGGGTACTCAACCTGCTGATGTTTTTAATCATCAGACAACGAATGTGGCACAAACCGGCAAGCAACTTTTTTCTTGCTAAAATCTTGCACTAAAATGTTATGAAAGGTCTCTCTGTTAACACCAGATTCATCAGCCATTATCCTCACAGTAAAACAATGATCTTATTGTATCCGTTCTCTGACTTTTGCAATGAGTTCATCATTACGAACAGAAATTTGACATCCAGGTCTAGGTGCATTAGTAATCATTTTCACACCACTTTTGAATCACGAATACCACCTGAAAATGTGTGCACGAGATAAACAATTATCCCCATAAACTTGCTGCATCAATTCACCTGTTTCAATAGTGCTTTTTCTGAGTTTAAAAAAAAATTTAATGTTAGCTTTTTGCTCCATGCTGATTACGTAATCAATCAACCTCTGACAAGGTCAACAAAATGGCGGCTTGTTTGTTGTCAGATTATCGAGTGGCGATAAGTTGCCAGATCATAGATGAATGTTGCCTCTTTAGATTTCATGCTCTACTTCATAGAGGGCATTTTTGTCATGGCCATAATAAAATCAGTCTCAATCATTAATTGTCAGACCTTGTAAGTCTTAGTCTTAGTCAAGACTTCAATTTCACTGTAATTCGGGTCACCTCATAGAAACCTTGTTGCTGTGCCAGTGAAAATCAAATGAAATGTCTCTCACAGTCCCATTTGAAAAACTGGTGAACAAACAATTAGTCCCAGCACAATCCAGAAATATGCGCACGCAGTCAATGCATGAGACAAGAGCTAGAGGCACTAAAGCCAAACAAAGTCGCCACCAGAAATGCAGTTTGTCGTCGGCCACGATAAGCTGGCTATACACAGGTAAAATTATTACATAAAGTATTGTGACAGCCCACACGCAAACCGGCTACCAGCCATACTGAATACCAGGATTCAACCGCTGAAACAGACATAAACCAGCAGATAAGATAACAACCTTGTTCAGGATCATATTCCTCCATCTCGTCTTCACTCTCACTGAGCACAGGGGGTGGGCCTGGTGGAGGTCCTGCCGGCTTTTTCTTCTGGTTTGCTATGTGTATTGGTATCTGAGGACCTATCCCACTGCTCGGTTTCCTGAATTTTTTGGGGGAAATAGAAACACAAGATATTTAACAATATGGAGAGATGGAGAGATGGAGAGAGAGAGAGAGAGAGAGAGAGAGAGAGAGAGAGAGAGAGAGAGAGAGATTGTGTGTGTGTGATTCAGTAACTGTTGCTTGCTTGCTTGTTATACCCTACCAGGACATCACACAAGCGATAAACACCCGGTGACACACAGTGCCACCATGGCAATGAGGATCTCCTGTGGAGAGGTCCCAGAAACCCCTTTCAGCTGTTATGGCCACATCTATGGCCCGGCTATAATCAGGGCCCCCGGCAAAAGCCAGGGTGGGGTTTCAAATAATGAAATATTCCCCCCCCCCCCCCTGAACTGTTAGTGTGTGTGTGCACATATGCACACACAGTGTATGTGCATGCTCACTTTGCATACAAGATGCAATCTCAAAGTTTTGTGACAATTGTTATAAAACACAGATAATGATTTTATGAACATAATTTATTTCTCTCCTTAAAAATACAGTCGACACAGATACATCTTCGTTCATCTCAGAAAGCAGTTTTTGAAACTTTTCTAAAGCTACCTTATTAGTGCCTATTTAAAGTCTCTCAATGTTTGAAAATGTCGCCCTCTAAAGAGAAATTCTAACTTTGGTGGTGAGCTGTTGGTAAAGATACAGCTTCCCTAGAATATGTTTATCTTGTCTCATTAAAATAAAACCCTGGTAGTAAAGATGTTCTTGTGTCTGCTCTGTGGTTAAGGTGTGTCCCCCCCCCCCCCCCCCCCCCGAGTCTTCAGTTACAATCTGGTAAACTAAATCTTAACTAATATAAAACAATCAGCGATCATTCGGAGAGTCTTCTGTTATCAGAAGAGGAAGCGATCCCTTGTTTTTTATGCATTCTCACGGTTGAAGAACAATCATTTCTGGTTTCATCCTTCATATTCTTTCGTTTGTCTTTATAAACTAATTACCATGACCTTGTTGGAGAGCGTGTACAGTTCAGAGGGGCAGATTGATCACCACAGTCTGGTGAGACTGATGCAGCGGGGAGTGACGAGGTGTTCTGGCAGATGCTTGAGGTTCAGACGGACGTCTAATCAGAATGCTACTGACACCATAAGTATCGGAACTCTTCACTAGCTGCTAAAGATGGGGACGGAGCGCTTATGGAAAAACCACGAGTGCTGTGATGCCGGTTTTGAATTAACTCAACTCAATTACTATGACCAATGGTAGTGCTACCATAAGCCTTGTTAGTAAGTTTTATTTCCACAGCACTTTTACTGACTTTAACACACAATTGTAACTGCTACTCACTCTCTGCTCCCCCATAACACTCATAAAGCCAGTTTGCACACTTCTTCTTTTTAAAGTCTATGCAATGTGGCGTTGATAGTCATGTCTAGCCACAACCTTCTGTACCAAGTACTTTCAATCAACTCTGACAAAGACGATCCTCCATGCAATGATGTCAAACTGTCCAGCATCTTTTCTTTTGGTCCCCTTCTTTTTCATCATCTATAAAACCACATCTCCGCAGCACTCTAACACCACCAGATAGAAACTGTTCAAGCCTGATAATGTCTAGCATGAAGCACAGTGCTATGTAGTGATGGTATTGGTTGCTAGATGTTAGCTGACTGAACTTCCTCACTGCACATCAAACCATTTACTTCATTAGTGCTCAGATCAGATCCTCAGCAAATCCTGCAGCATGCAGTGGCCGATGACAACAGCTCTGTGTTGGTTTATTTTTCTTTTCTGGCCTCCTGCAAGGACCTCATCTGGTCTCACACCTTTTAACATACTGTGCTTGCAGTCTCATCCTGGTTGCATAGTTATCCCCTGATTTTTACAAATGTCTTGCTTCTCATAAAGCATTTAGTAAATCGGCCTGGTTCACTGATCATCTGCCCTCCACAGTAGCCTTACCTGCAAGCCTTTCAGGTTGTTCATTTCCTTTTACCCCTGCATTCCCTGGCACGAAACTGATCTTTGACAGCTGTGCCTGCTTCCAAGACTTCAACCATTGTTTCTGGGTCTAGCTCATCTCAGTCTTCATGAGCATACTCGAGGAGTCACTGAAAAAAGCATGCCGGGTGAAGGTCTGTGTCTCCAGCCAGGTTCATTGCATTAGTTACTTTAATCAGACCCCGGGTAGTCAAGGTGACAGCAACAGAATCTTCATTCAATTCTCCTTAAAATCTGAGTTGTAAAAGTCTACGAGCTTCTCACGTGTCGAACAATACTCATCTGTGTAAATGACAGCATCACCATCAAATGTTTTTTCATGATGCAACGTTCAGCAATCTTTTAAACAACTTGTCTCAAAGGTGTCTGGTAGCACTTGCGCAAACACACATCTGATCATGTGAACATAACTTCAGGAATATTCTACTGCTGTTTTCTTTCTGCTTTCTCAGTTACAGCTTACAATATTAGGCTCGAAAGAATTTTCCAGACATGGTTTTTACGCTGCTGCTTACAAGATGGTGTTCACTTTCCTTTGCTGTTGTGATAATCAAATGTTTGCAGTTGGTCTGCCCTTTGTTATGATAATCTAACGTTTGCAGTTGGTCTGCCCTTTGTTATGATAATCTGATGTTTGCAGTTGATCTGCCCTTGCTGTTATGTTAATCCAATGTTTGCAGTTGATCTGCCCTTGCTGTTATGATAATCCGATGTTTGCAGTTGGTTTGCCCTTACTGTTAAGATAATCTGATGTTTGCAGTTTGTCTGCCCTTTGCTGTTATGATAATCCGATGTTTGTAGTTAGTCTGCCCTTTGTTATGATAATCCAATATTTGCAGCTGGTCTGTACTTTGTTATGATAATCCGATGTTTGTAGTTAGAAAGTAAAGGTGACCAGTGTGGTGCTGACCATATCACCCACCAAGTGGGGACTGGTCTATAAAATATAAATCTAGCCCTATATGCCTGAAGGCATGGAAAGGCCCCCCCCCCCCCCCCCCCCCACACCTCCCTTTTTTTAACAGCACCAGAAACCACTACATAGATGCCTCAGCACCAACAAGCACCACATCAAATGCCTCAGCACCAACAAGCACCACATCAAATGCCTCAGCACCAACAAGCACCACATCAAATGCCTCAGCACCAACAAGCACCACAGCAAATGCCTCAGCATCAACAAGCACCTCAACACAAACATACACTTACCCGTATGCAGAGACTTTCTTCAGAATTGAATGTGGACGTATATGACTCAGTGGTAAAGGGAGACCCGTCATTAATAAGTGCAGAGGTATCTCTGCAGGAAGTGGGATGGTGCCTGGAGCTAAAAGTAAAAAAAAAAAACAATGAACCAAAATCAACAAATGAAAGAAAGATATTCCTGTGTCGTTTCGGAGACCCCCATTGTAGGGAAACCAAGAACAGACCCACTGCCTCCCTAACAAGTATGTCATAAGAGTTGAATAATTGGTTGTCTCAAAAGTAGGAGTCAATCTGTCTGAGTCCATCAGCTGCGTTACTGTTTTAATTTCAATATATGAAGCATAAAAATGAATAAACTCAACCAAAATACAAAATGGTCTCTTGCGTTCCATTGTTGTCAAATAATTAAATATTGATTTAACTACACTAATGCGCCTGATGAGATGCAGCTACATATGCCCTACAATAAATTGTGCAATGTATTGTTTATATCCGCATTTTTAAATTCACCACAGGAAAACATTGTTTTGAATATATGAAATACAGCTTGTTCTCGTTTCCATATGAAAGTGAATTGCAGTTATTGTGCTTCGTGAATTTAAACAATGAGCTTTACCACAGCAGTCAGTAATCATCAAGTTCAGGAAGTCGGAGAGACAGTATGACTAAGTAGAACTGAGTGGGCAAGTCAAATGATCCATGTACACACCTTGCCACTTGCTTCCTGCATCATTACAATAGAGAGAGAGAGAGAGAGAGAGAGAGAGAGAGAGAGAGAAAAGAGAAAGACAGAAAGATGAGAGAGAGAGAACATGGAGAAATAATGAGAGAGAGAAGAGAGAAAGAGGAAAGATAGACAGACAGGGGACAGAGAGAGAGAGAATGAACAGAGAGAGGAGAGAAAGAAAGAGAGAGAGAAGACAGAGAGAGCGAGAGAGAGAGAGAGAAAAAGAGAGAGAGAGAGAATCATGAAACAGAAACCATGAGTGAGCTAAACATGGTAAACTTTGTGTATTTCCAAATGGTGTGGATGACATGAAACATACTGACAAATGCCATGAACAAGAGAACAGAAAGTTCAAACCTGACATATCAACTGGCGCATCTGGCAACGGAATCTGATCCAACTGGACTCTTTCTGCATTTCGAACCTGATCTGTAAAAGACAAATCACAGATAATTTGTCAATGAAGTTACACATCAATACAAATTTGAAACTAGTTTTTTTACATTGCCTACTGAAAACTAAAGAGGGGTGGCAAACAGACCTTCATCATAAAATTAGATAATGTCACTCTGCTCTCTGTGCTGTGTCAACAATGGGAAAGAAAGCAGTTATTCATTCTCTAAATGTGGAAAAAATTTTTTATTTGTTTAGGGACTTGGAGCCACAAATATGCAAAAGCCAGAAGGCTTGCCTGGCATGTTGGTGGTCATAGGTTTCAACACCCCCCCTCCCCCCCCACCCGGATTTGTATAAAAACTAACCAAGACTCAAAATTTCTTCTGCTTCTTTTTCTCTCCCTCTACTTTCTTAAGTTTTAGAGAATCGTAATGATGCATATCTTTATAATGAAATTTAGAAAAAAGGTTACATCTTAAGATTTTTACAGGAAAAAAGGGTTAAAGCTCATGTAATTATGGTTATAAACAAGTGGATCATCACCAGTACTACAGTCTGTGTGTTTGCTGAGAGACTGGCTGACCTATGAGATGAGACTAGAGCATGTGCGGCAACATCTGTGCAAAGTAACAATGAAAAACACATCACACACAAAGCACTCACCATAAAATAGCTGTAATTGCGAACGGGTTTTTTCGTACTCTATATTTGCCTTTTTTAATTCCACTGCATATTCAGGCCTTTCTTTTTCCTGTTTTGGGGAAAAATAAAAGGCATCAGGCTTTATGTTGGAGGAAAATGAGCCTTGGTAAGGTGTCAGCAATAGAGTGAGTTTATAAACATATTTTTTTTCAGATCAAATTATACATTGTTCTAATCAAACTGGAAAAACTTGAAATCAATCATTGTTCTTTTTAAATTTTAACTATATTCTGGAATTTTCTAGAAGATCTGGAAGAAACATCTCGTAATTATTTCTATTTTTTTTAAAAAGCTATAAACAGGAATGGAAGTCTTCGTGGATCGAAAGGTCGTGGGTTTGCCGGACTTTTAAAAAAAATGACCTCGACTCCCAGGTCGACCCAGTCTTAAGTGGGTACCAGGTGCAATCCTGGGAAGTAAAGGTGGCCTGTGTGGTGGTGACCACATCGCCCACCAAGTGCTGATTGGTCTAGAAGAATACAGGTCTAGCCCTATATTCCCAAAATGCTAAAGGCGTGGAAAAATGACCTTGACCTATAAATAGGAATGCGCTTTAAACCCTTCACTGTATAGACCTAGCCTCATGGAACAACCAAACATGAGCAACAAACCTCAAAACAACAAGACCTGAGGCAATGCCTGTGCAAGCACTTTCTTGGCACAGTAAAATATCCTTATTAAGCTTGTGTTAGTGAATGGGAAAACCATCCATAAGGCTGCTCAAGAAGATGGTACCAACAAAAACACAGCAAAAAAAAAATCATCAATGCCTACACATGAGAAGGCGCCGTTTTCCAGCAATGTGGGAAAAGCAACAGAGAAACTGATTGCCGATGTCCTGCAGTGCATCGAAAACATTGTTAACAACATTCAAAGGATACTCTGGTGCAAATACAGCAGCGGCTGAAGGAGAATGGGAATGACCTTACTGTTTCTACAGTTTCCAATGCCCTCAAAAAACTTTAAGGTCGCCCTAAAGAAGTGTCACAACCAGCTTGATCGCGTCATCAGTACCATGACAACTGTAAGCTGGCCTACACATGCTCTCAACTTTTTAGCACATGCTCCGCAAGACAAGGAGAAGTGCATCTTCACTGATGAAAGTGGATTCAATCTCCATCTGTGACAGACTCAAGCTCGCTCAAGAAGAGGGACATGATCAAACATAATCCTGCCCACTGTGAGAGACTGCACGCATGGTTACACTAATTGTGGTAATGAACAACCAAGGCATAGTCCACCCAAAAATTATCAGTGACGGCATCTGTATTGGCAAAATGTTCTGTGTATTTGTGGAGGAGCTTGTAATGCGTTTAGGTAGCAAGGAGCAGCTGAACGGCGCATGGCTGATAATGGACAATGCCAGAATCCACAAGACAGATAATCTACTGAATAACCCATAAGTGCTCCATTCTACTTCTAACTCAAGTCTGAGTCCAAAGAATCTCAACGTGCGCAACAGTACACAAGGGCATCTGATCTTACTACCCGTAGACCAGAGGGAAATTACTAGAAGCTCATGTGAAAAAACTCCAGCTTGAACCAAGGACCTCCAGTACTTGAGGCGGACGCCATGCTTTGAGACCATGCAGCCCCCTAGTAGGTAGGTATGGATGTGTGTGTATGTGTGACTACAAAATGTGTTTCTTTTCAAAGTTCTGAAATTTTTGTTAACCATTAAACGTTTAAAATATAATGAAAATAATCTGGCATTAAAAGTGGGCAAGATTTATAGCCTTCAGAGTTCAGACTGCTGGTCTCTACAACTGCATACTAGCAGCAAGTGTGAAGCTACAAGAGCAAGAGGACGGCTACACAAATATAGATCAACAACACTAAGGACACTTTACGCTTTCGCCGCATGACAATAGCCTGTGCCAGACAGCATCCACTGAACCGCAAATTATTCCTCACCATGCTGCTTAACGGCAGAAGTAGATTAGGATTATGATTTTATAGTATGCTCTCTGGTGGATTGAAATCTTGGTATGTCCCTAGAATTAGATGCAGTAAAGCAAACCAAGTATTGGGACAGCTAGCCCCCTCTTACAGCATAAGACAATCCCAATCAGTGCAAAGAGACATCTTATTCAAAGCATATTTATTCCAACTCTGTGCTACCAGTGCCAGACATGGTCACTCACAACAAACCATAAAAGAAAATTAGTAACCATGGAAATGAGATGCCTGAGAAGGGCTGTAGGAGTGACCATAAGAGATAAGATCAGGAATGAGATCATAAGAGAAAACGTCGGCATAGAGCCAATTCTAAATTACATACGAAGACAGCAAGTGAAATGGTTTGCCCACTTAGAGAGAATGCCTTGTGACACCATACCATACAAAGCATACATGAAAAGAGAAGAAGGACGTAGAGCACGAGGTAGACCAAGAACAATATGGAAGGGTAACATCAGAGAAACTCTACAACAGCACGATGTGCCTATGGTCAAGGCGGCCAGAAAAGCTAGAAACAGAACCTTATATCTCCCTTGACACCCACAGCGGTAAAAGAGGAAGTGAAGACGAAGAAGAAGAAGTATGTCTCGTGTGCCCACTACTATCTACTTCCTTGTCTACTTCTGTTAATTTATTTTACATTTTAAATCAATGGCCTCAAGAATTCCACATCAACTGATATTTTAAATGCCACTCATTAAAGACTATATAGGCAGGAAATACTTTGGCTTTCAGGCAAACCCAGCCTAAAATTTGTTATCAGGAAATCTCTCTGGAAGTCAAGGCGACAAGTGTGAAGATGACCACATCTTCCATCAAGTTCCAACTGTTTTCTTCTTCTTATTGTTTACCAGCTGTAAACTCTGAAAGAAAGTTTTGGCTGTTTGTCCACTTTTTGACCTTGGTCTTGTTCCTCACCTCTCAGGCAAATACACTCTGCCTTTAAATAAAACAACCCTAATTAGTCACATTTTACGACACGCATGTTGGGGGTCAGCAGCCCCCCCCCCCCCCCTTCCATAAATAGGGCCCTGGAATCCAAACAGTAACAACTAGTCTCTAAAATATGGTACTAACATCATGTGGAAAATGCCTTTGGCAAGAAAAGATCCTGCTATTTTTTTTACCATATACATAGTATATTCAATTATTTACTTCAAAGTCGGAGTACATCTGACTGATAGGCAAGGAACCAACAGTCTGCATGCAAATGTGTGAGACCTGTAAAACAGATGTGCACGTAACACCTAGTTTCTGGAACAGGACTAGAGTCCAGAAGTGGATGAACAACCAGAAATGTATGTCGGAGTTCTGTCGGTGAATGTGAAGAAGAAGAAGATTTAATTATTTTTAGAAGCACTTACATATAATTTAAACACTCTGTCAAATGTTTCTCTGAGCTTTTTCCTCTTTTCTCGAAGAACCTTCTCATTCAAAGATGGTGGCTGCATTGGGTTGTATTCTGGTAAAAAAAAGAACATTAACAATAAACGCCCATTACAGTTATCACCCATAACGCTAACCGAAGACAGTATACATCACAAAGCTCTTATTCTTATTTTTTGTAAAGATGGAAAGAAACAGGAATGTACTATTCTCCAAAGAGAGACAAAAGTGGAAACAAGAATGCAAAAAGTAGTAATCCCCTTTGATTTCCAAGGCCTCCAGTTTGTGGGAAATAACAAAATTGACTAACTGTACTCTAATAACAAGCAAGGTGTAAAGGTGTTTGATAGAGGGTTTGCTGAAAGATGTGTGAAGGCTGAGAGGCGCTGATTTCCCTCTCTAGCCGTAAACAACATAACGAGTTGGTGAATACAGAAGGAGGAGAAGAAAGAGTATTGACATAGCTGTCACTTCTACTGAAATATCTGATGAAAAGATCTCAGCAGTGATTTTTTTCAACACTTTACTGTCAGTTTTACAATTGGTCCCTATTAACAGCGCACCAGAGAAAACTTGTCACATGTGAGAAGAAATAATTGAAGAACAAGGCCGGGTGTGGTTTTCAGAGAGTACAGGTTGTGAAACAGCAACATCAGACATATGACAGTTATACATATTGTGCCATTATTTCATTGACAAACAAATAAAGTGATATGGACATCTGATGAGAATGAAACCCAATCAACCTCCCAAAACTAACACAACATACAAAGACCTGGATACAGAGAAAACAAAAGACCAAGGATGACAATATATAGATAATTGGCCTTGAAACACCAAATGAAGCTTTCCACACCCCTATGCTTTATTTAAGTGTGGATAAAGAAAACAAACACAATCCCTTTGGGATTCTTCTTAAAATATTCATCATCGTGTAGCAAGTCTTTGCAGAACGTCACTCTATCACAGTCTGCCTAAAAGAAACTTGGTCTCTCGCCAGCTCTTCCGCCTCATGCCCTTTCCTACTCAAGAAGCCACTTATATCCTGTGCCCATCCTCATGCTGATTGGCCCCTGCCCCACCTTCCTGGTACCATGACTTCTGCTATTGTTGCAAAACTGGGTGGTGTATTGATACATGACAAGGCAGATGTGGTCAAGGCCCTTTGGAAACAAGCAACAGAATCAGTAGAGCAACAAATTATTATGCCCTGGAGAGAATAAGGCACCTGGGTGTAACCAGATGGTCTGGCCGGCTCGGCACTCTTCCGAATACCGGCCCCATATTATTTGCTGTCCAAAACATTCCTGTTAGAGCCTCAAAGGGTTCAAGAGGTTACAAAGAGGACAAGGGGTTATAAAGAGGTTATACAAAATATGGTACAACAAAAAATGGTACAATACGTAGATCATCATCAGTTTCCACATCTGCACGTTAAGCGTTGTGAGAAATAGTTTTCGATCGACTGAAGTGACGTGGGGAGGAATAATTTTCGATCCATCGGAGCGCTGAAGTGACGTGTTATACAAAATATGGAACAACAAAATATGGAACAATATGGAACAATACGTACCAATAATGCCGTGAAATAATTGAGGCCATCATCATCAGTTTCCACATAAAATATGGAACAACAAAATATGGAACAATACGTACCAATAATGCCGTGAAATAATTGAGGCCATCATCATCAGTTTCCACATCTGCGCGTTAAGCGCTGTGAAGTAGCGCTGTGAAGTGACGTGGGGAGGAAAAATTTTCGATCCATCGGAGCGCTGTGTCGATGGGTAGCAACATTAAGATCATCATCATCAGTCTTCACTTCTGCCGTTAAGCGCCGTGAAATAATAATTGAAGCCATCATCATCAGTTTTTCACTTCTGCGCAATGTTTAAAGTTTAGCACCGTGGGGAGAAATAGTTTTCGATCGACTGAAGTGACGTGGGGAGGAATAATTTTTGATCCATCGGAGCGCTGTAGTGACGTGGGGAGGAAAAATTTTCGATCCATCGGAGCGCTGTGTCGCTGGGTAGCAACGTTAAGATCATCATCATCAGTCTTCACTTCGGCTCTACTGGCAAATCCGGACGAAGAATAAACAGCCTTGGACGACTTAGTCAGAGTTCTCTCCCGTGGCCGCACTCCAAACAGTGATCGGAAAAGCCACAACGAAACAAACGACACAAGAAGCAACATGGCAGTTAGACGCACTCACATAACTAACATCGTTATTCCGACGCACGACTTAGTTGCCACGGACGTAACTCCTGTATGCCATAATGACATAAGTATGCGTGGTTGCGGTGGCTAACTGAGCATAGTCTGATAAGGAACACGCAACCGTGTACCTCATGCACGCGGCCAATGTTCCTATGTCCCCGGCAAGACTGTAGCGACAGATACGGTTGGCGATGTTATCGCTGTAATACTAGGTGTAGTGTTCGCACTGGGTCGTTTTTCGCCAACAGCGACATGTCGACCGAGAAAATACTTATGATGATGTACTACTGGCTCTCCGGCGTAAGTTCAGCGACTGTCATGGTCCTCGAGAGACTCACGAACTGGCACACCATTGTCAACTACAACAATTATTTCCGTCAGGAAATAATTGGATGTTGAGACACACCGTGGAGCTGGGAGGACTCGATGAGACCGGCAGATCTATCGTGGTCGAAGTAGACGAGAGCTACTTCTTCCGACGAAAGTATCAGCGCGGTCGCATCCGTCACGGTCGTTGGATCGTCGGGCTAGTAGAGCGTGAGACTGGCCGTTGCTACTTGGAGCTTGTGCGAAAACGAGATGCGGCGACATTGGAGAGGATTATAAAAGATTACGATACGATACGGGAACGACCATCATGACTGACGCTTGGCGAGGCTACAGCAACGTGGCAAACTTACGGCATGGCATCTATCTGCACGAGGTAGTAGTCCACCAGACCAACTTCGTCGACGCCGAACACAGTCACATACACACACAAACAATTGAGGGCCTCTGGATGCTGGTGAAACGCACCATTCGCCAACGATTGGGCACCAGCCGCACACAATTGGCGTCATATTTAGCAGAATTTCAGTGGCGCCACGCCCACAAACATCAGATTGTCGGCCACTATTTCGAAACCCTACGTCAAAATTTTAACATCTAACCCTACCCCTAACCCCCCACCCCCGCTCCTTTTCTCCCTCTACACAGTGGAATTTTTTTAAAGAAAGATACATAAGATACACACAATATATATATATATATATATATATATAATACACAAAGCATATTCAATCAGATTATTAAATTACAAGAAGCCAAATCAGGATTTCAGAAGGAATAAAAACTGTCGGCCTGTTTCTCTAAATATCTAATGCATTTGATGTATATTAAAGAGAGCGCTGCGTTATACCTGCAACAATATCATATCTACTTTGATGGATTTTAAAATACTAAGATGTGTAGTAGAAACGACATAGCAGAGAAGATATACTTGGCTACAACTTATCTAAACACAAGAGGATGTTCAGTATCAATGAAGTGTGTACCACCTGCTAGTGCGGTCACTGAGAAAATGAAATGACAGACGAAAAGAAGGAAATGCAGAAAACAAAATGCAATACACTTTCCGTCAAAGAAAAGTGGCAACTCTGCCAATAATATTTGACAGTTATATGTCGAAATTGTGGCACAACAGTTGTAAATACTGTCCAAAAACATGTTCTTTGTGACTGTGGCGCCACTGAAATTCGGCTAAATATGTATTAAACAATGCACGACTAGTGCCGCCTTGGAAACGCTGTTTCCTTTTGACTTGCATCCACAGCCCTTCAATTGTTTGGGTGTGGATGTCTCCGTGTACACGGTCAACAAAATTAATAGCATGAACAACAACGAGATGTTCATATATGCCATTGTTGAGTTGACCAACGTTGTTGTAGCCTCGCCAGGCATCGGTGACAATCGTCGTTCCTGGTAACACATGCTCACTTATGATGCGTTCCAATGTTGTCGCATCTCGCCTATTAACAACTTCCAACCAGCAACGGCCACTACCACGTTCAACTAGCCCAACTACCCATTGACCACAACGAAAGTAACCACGATGGTACTTGCGGTGGAAAAAATAGCTCTCGTCAACTTCAACAACCACTGACTGTCCGTTAGCATCAAATCCTCCCAACTGAGGGTTGCTAAGCAGCAGCCAGTTGTAACACTCTACCCGAAAATAATTGTTATAGTTGACTACTGTATCACAGCTTGTCAATCTCTCAAAAAAACATCACATTTTTTTGCTTGACTTCGAACAACCAGTAAAACATTACCATCACAATTCTTTCAGTTGGGAGTTCACAATTAGCGAAGAACGAACCCGTCCGTACACTGCAACGAGTATTACAGCGACGACATTGCCAAGAGAATCTATCGGAACATTCTAGCCTTGACACTAATGACATCCGACGGTTGCAAGACGAACAGTCTACTGAGTTCCGTATTATTCTGTGCATAGCGAGCCATTGCAACCACTGTAGTTTATCGTCCATTATTCTATATAAATCATCAGGTCTGACATCTACAGCTGCCAGTTGATCAACTTGTAGAATATTATTGCTTATAAGTTTTGGAGCCGATGGTCTACCTGCCATAATTAAAAGTAGCTGCACAAATTATCAAAGAAATATTTCCACTTTATTCGCAACTTTTGCCGATAAGCAATTAATTATCTACGCAAGTGCACAAATTCGCAAAGAGACTGTGACGAGGTGCATTCGGTGAGTCCAGAATTCCTTCTAAACGCAACAACAACAAAAGTACACAAGTCCAACAGAAACCTTTACAAAGTGAAAACAATGAGGTGACTGAACAGCAAACCCAAGCGATCTTCCTAGCAGCGATCAAAGTGTCTGACCAACCAACAATTTATCTCAGTGGAATTTAACGTTAGCTTAACAGCTGGACCAGTGAACGCATCTACGTTGAAAAATTATGCAATCTTCCAGTCCAACGGACAAAAGATCTGAACTTGCGGACGGGCAGGTGGCTAATTACCATGGGTTAGAGTTGAGACGTAGCGGGCATTCTCAGACCAGTCGACAACTTTGATGTCCAGAGTTCAAACAGGATAGCGGGTCCAGTTGTCTAAGCAAGCGAATTTCGCACATTAATGTGATACACGTAATCTACCTAGTGATGTCTAGTGATGTTACAACATACTCGTAATCACAAGGGCGGCTGAAAAGAATGTTGTAAAAGGCAACTAATTAGGACTGCTGAAATCAGATGTGTTGGGGCGAAAGGCGCAGATATCGCAACCTAGCACGAAAGGCGCAGATATAGCAGCGTATTTGTAAACCACAATACACTATGCCAACCGCCATTTCAAGGGCGAACAAAAAAAAAAAGGAGATTAGCTGCCCGTGACATGACCATTGAGCATTTCGCCGCCGCTATCGCAGCCTAGCTGTTAACTACAAGACCGAGCGAAAGGCGCAATCGCAGCCTATATCGCAGCCTAGTTGTAACCACAACACAACGTGCAAACCACCCTTTTAACTGCTTATCAACTGTTGTAACTACAAAACAACGTCTAAGCCACCCTTTTAAAAGTGAAAAAAAATTTGCCGTCGCTATCGCAACCTAGCTGTTAACCACAAGACCGAGTAAAGGCGCAGATATCGCAGCCTAGTTGTTAACCACAACACAACGTGCAATACTACAAAACAACGTCTAAACCACCCTTTTAAAAGTAAAAAAATATTTGCCGCCGCTATCGCAACCTAGCTGTTAACCACAAGACCGAGTAAAGGCGCAGATATCGCACCCTTTTGAAGAAAGAAATAGAAAAATTTTTTTTTTTTCTTTTGGCCCCCCGGAGAATCGAACCCCGATCAACCTGATCACAGGCGTAACAAGCAGACTGCATATCAACTATACTAGCGAAGACTCTGTAATTTCGTTCAAACAAACTTATATAATAAAAGAAGGCATTTCCTGTTCCATATTTTTAACAACATGACCTCTTAGGTCCCTAACAACGACCTCTTGAGGCCCTGAATGGGATTTTTTGTCTTTGAATAATATGGGGCCGGTATTCGGAAGAGTGCCGGCCGGCTCACTTCACTCCGATGAAAGGCAAGATGGACATATAACCAGATTGTAACTGGCGCCATCAGTATTGGAACTCTGCGCTGGCTGCACGTATTAGAATGCCCTGAATGCTGTGATGTCAATTCTTGACTCAACTCAACAACTCCTTAAGGACCGGTAAATAGTCCATGATTTGCATCCATATGTTGCTACAGGGAAGATGATTACTCAAAACTGTAACTTCGATTTCCTTGCTGGTGCTTAACTACAGATTTGTAATGCTGTTTAATCTTTGTATTGCTAAAACCATCCTTCCTTTGACTTTTATGGAACAGTCTCCATTGCTGTTTATTATGGAGCCTAGATATTCTCACACTATTAAATTGCCTAACAGCTGGGGGGAGGGGGAGAAGAATACATGATATTTGCAGGACTACTTTATTTAATGGCATGACACTGTCCCAGATATGTAACTGACATTTGTTAAATACTTCAGCCCTAAACAAAGCATTACAGTATACTAGCACATACCCATCCTGTCTATTACTTCCATCTCTTCTAGTAGTTTCATTGGATCTTTGCCTTTTAGAACCGCAGTTCTGACCATAATACGTTGTTTCTTGTTCTGTTTAAATAAAAAAGGAGAAAAAAAAAAAGAATTAGCCCAGCATTGGTTAAACAGATGTACAATTAATGTCAGCATTCAAAAAACCACACTGGTGTGTGTGGGCATGTTTAAGGCAAGCGAGCAAGAGATAGCGATATTAACTGGAGAATAACATTAAGAAAGAGGGAGGAACACCAACATCTCAGAAAATGTACAACTGGGAAGAGACACACGAATATGTTAAGAAATTTACCATAGCCAACATTGCTTGTGGAAACAGCCCCTCACTGATTAATGACAAATGCTCAATGATAAAAAAAAAGCGCCTAATTTCACCACAAAACTAATTTAAAATAAAAAACAGCTAAAAGTATTTTCTAACATTACTAGAGCATAACTAAACAGGCTCCAGTGGACCAAGAGGTGAGGAAAAGATGCTGGCGCTGGATAGGACACACACTGAGAAAATAGGAGAACAGAATAACTAGAATATCTTTGCATTGGAACCCACAGGGGCGTAGGAATAAAGGAAGGCCAAAAAAACACATGGAGAAGAGAGCTGGAGAATGAAGTTAGAAAGATGGGGAGGACATGGGGAAAGCTCCATGCAATGGCGAAGGATAGAAAGACTTGGCGTGAGTTGGGTGAGGGCCTATGCTCCATTGAAGGATAGAAAGGCAGAAGAAGAAGAAGACTAAAGCATAAATGAAATACTGTTCTGTTTCTAAGTTCTACCAGTATCTGTCCTTAGCAGAAATGTAGGCGTCATCCAAACTATTCCAGAGCTTGTAATTATTATTAAGTTGTTGTTAATGATGTGTATTATTGCATATTAGAGCTAAAACATCAGATTTTATTTGTTAATATTCTTAGGACTATCTTTGTTTAGTAATTATAATTAGAGCACATTCCAACATTTGTTACTGAGAATTAGATTTCACTGATAATGTTTATTATTAACTATGAAATGATGTATAAATGAATTACCAACTGTAAGGAATGAGACTTAAAGGGCAGAATGTTAGATGGGCCTTCATGCCCAATTCTTCATCATCATCATCAAGTACCTTGCCAGCTGGCGTAGGCATTCATGAATCTCCACAGATCTTGGTTTTTTCGAGTTTTGGATCAATTCCACTGATGATATTCCACCATGTCACTGTCTCAAGCCACCCACCATCATTTCTCTTGGTCTACCTCTTCTACCAGCGATCTTTCCAGTCATCACAATATTTTCTAGTGCTCCTTTTCTCATCACATGACCAGAGAACTTTGTCTTCTTCTCATTGTTGTAAATAATGTTCTACTTTCACTATCCATTTCCAGGAAATCATTGTTAGGTATTCTGGCAGTCCAAGGTATTTGCAACATTCTTCTCAAGAATCCCATCTCAGTTGCCTCCAAACTCTTCTTAATTTGTTTGCTCACATTTCAAGATTGACTATCATACAACAGAATGTGCTCGATATAACATTTAAGCACTTGTTTTCTGATGTTTAATGAGAGTGATTTACTACAGAAGATACTTTTCATCTTCTGAAATGCTGCATTTGCCTGATCAATTCTTAACACTCTGAAAATGAACTTTGTTCATTCGTTCCTCCACTCTGTTCTAAACTGTGCAATCCTTTGGATACCATGGATGCTATCCAGGTCTTCACCTGTGGCCTCTCTTATCAGCATTCTTCTCAGGGTTTCTCTTAGATGTTACATTAATCCATTTGTTTCCTATTTCAGTACTTGCTTGGTGATGTAATCAGTGAGATAAATCACTTACAGTAAACAAAGTGATATAATATAATTTTAAAAAACATCATACCTTTTTAAGCTCCCTTTTCCTGGCTTCTTTTCCTATTGAGGAAAAATATAACCCATGTAAAAAAAATATTTATAACTAAATGTTTCAGAGTTTCAAATTCTGAGATTATGGTGGGATTATGGTAAACTAAAACAATATATCTGAGTCAAATGTTTAAAAACAAGACAGGGCACTGGCTATCCAGATAGTTCAATACCGGAATGTAGAAGAGGAAAAAGAAGACAGCGATAGGAGAATGAGGAAGGACAGTGATGGAATATACACACACACTTGCTGAATGTGTTGAAACATACATATGTCATTGTATGCCAAGTGCAGCTGCCATAGTGGTTAAATGCTCACCTGTTATGTGAAGGCCTTGGGTTGAAATCTGCATCTCTGAATTTTATATATATATATATATCTATATTTATAATATGACTATGGATACTAATTTTTTTATTTCTAGTTTGTTGTGAGTTACAATGTCTCACACTTATAGCACAAAGTGGGAATGAATACACTTTTTATCAAAAGTGTCTCTGTGCCAATTGGGACTGTCTTATGATGTAAGAGAGGGGTTATCTGTCCCAATACTGGGTTTGCTTTACTGCAACTGATGTTAATTTCTTTAACTAATTTACCATCTTCTGTGAATGTTGTTTGCAAATATTTAAACTAAGTGCATGTTTAATACCTAGGTACTCTACTGCTATGCTTTGGTTCTGCTTCTTTCTTCCTACTGTCATTACTTCTGTCTTTTCAGTGATGATTCTCATATTATTTGCTTAACATTCTTCAATCATGGCTGTCAGATGATGCAATTTCATGACTGGTCATAAGCAAAGAGTAATTCATTGATCTTACTAATATTTTTGCTCCTGGACTTGGCATCCTTGCATATTCTATTGATGTAGGTGATAAACAGAAGTGGGAATAAGACACATAACTGTCTTACTTTAGATGTTCTTGCCAATGCTTTAGATGTTCCTAGATGTATTCTAACTAAGAGCACCTACAATCCCTACAGAAACATTTGCACCTTTGGAATGCAGTATCTGCTTAGTCCATATAGAGCCATTACTTGCTAGAATACTTGACAATCAACTCTGTCAAAAGGTTTCTCCTGGTCTACAAATAAGTTATCATAATCAATGTTCTTTTCAATTAACTGTTTAAGTCTGAAGATTGCAAACGTGCAGTTTCTATTTCTCCTAAATCCCATCCATCTCTTCTTCTGCCATCTATGGTTCTATCACTGGTCTCAGCCTCATTTCAATTATCATGGCGCATTTTTTCATGACTGTACTGACTGCATTCTTGTGTACTTCCTTTGTATAACTATTGCATGCTGCCACTCATAGGGGGCAGTTTGTTGTAACCATGCTACGTTAAATATTTTGTAAAGCCATTTGATGTAGCTTTCCCCTGCTGCTTGGATTATTTCTGGGAGACTGTATATCTGGTTCTAGCACTTACTCTGTTGTTCTTTCCTGGTGATCTCCTAGGGGGTTAAAGAGATCACTTATGTATTCCTTCAATTTTTTTTCTGCTGTTTCTGGTGGATCGATTAATGGCTTTCCTGTCTCATCATTAATTATTTCTATGGTGTTGCAACAAATATTTTGGCCAAACAAGATCACTAATGAAGAACTGAGGAGGAAAACAGAATGTGCATCACTGGCAAATATTATCAAAGTAAGACAATGGAGATGGCTTGGACATGTTTGCAGAATGCCCTGTGACACTCTGGCAAAAACAACTCTCCGGTGGACAACAGATGGGAAAAGGAGACGTGGATGACCTAAGGAAACCTGGAGAAGGACAATAGAATGGAAAATGAAGGAATGTAAACTGACAAGGGATGCCATGGGTAGAAAAGCAGCAGACCGGCAGCAATGGAGATCGCTTGTGTTGCCTTATGTGTAAACAGCGACATGAAGAGGATGTAGATAGATGGTGTTGCAGCCAGCATCTCTTTTTCCTTTTCCACATACTTTTGACTACTTTAAAAAATGTTTTGTTGGCTGTTTTCATATTTTCTGCTAATGACTCTCTTAAACATTCAAATGAGTCTTGTTTTGCTTTCTTGAATTTCTGGTTGGTTTTCTCTCCATTGCAATCTATAGTTTATAATATTCTTTCTTTGATTTTATCCACTGTTTTTATACTTTCCCCCCTTCTTAACCATTCATTGACTTATTCGCACCGCCAAGGCAAATACTTATTATAACTATGTTTGTTTCCATTTGTCTGATTCCACATAATTCTTCAGCAATACTAAGCATAATGGTTTTATATTCACTCCTCAATTTTGCCATCACTGTTCTTAGCAGCATGTGGACCTAGGAACTTTTCTCACCTACCTTTCCTGTAAAGTCTCTCATCTACAAACAGTATGCTGTTTATTTCTCTAGCTCTTCAGACAGATTAACACAGAGTTTATCTTTTTGCTCTTTTTATAGTGATCATTGCATCATATATGCTTCTGTTTATTCTCTTTATTTAATTTTTAAGGTTGTATTTCTGTCTGAGCAATAACTGATGTCTAATGTGTAGTTAGCTATGTTCGGATGCACCAGGAACCCTCCTCCTGTGTATGTTAGTGAGTAGTCTGTGTATTTTCTTACTATCATTTCTTTTGCATCTTATGTCAGCTAGCACCATTCATTTTAATTTTCCTTGTTTCCATTATTTCAAGATCTCTTCTGTTCTCTCTTCTTCTTCTTTGTGTTCCACTGCTGTAAAATCCGGAGGAAAGTTCTGGTTGTTTCATCCACTTCTGGACTCTAGTCCTGTTCCAGAAACAGTGTTGCATTGCATGAACATCCATTTCACAGGTCTGTCATTTGCATGCAGACTGTTGATTCCCTGCCTCTAATGCAGATGTACTCCGACTTCGAAGGAAGCTCCCAATTAGTCGACTCTTACAACATGTTTTTGGGCAGGCAATGGATCTGTTCTTGTTTTCCCACTAATGGGGCCTCGGAACCTACACAATGGGATTTCTTCTGTTATTTACCAGGATTGCTGTGTTAAGTCATTGCGATCTCATATTTTGCTTTTCTGTTGCATATTTCTTTAACACTGCCATGGTCAAATACTGTTTCTTCAGTCCACTTAATTTATATCTTACTGTATTTTCTGTAGCAATAATACAACCACTGCCAGCCTCTTAGTCCTGTCATAACTTCCCCAGCAGCCCGTTGGCTGGGACACTTTTTTGGCGACCCAGGAAAGTGAGAAAACTACTACTACTACACTGAATGCAAAACTTAAACCGCCAAGTAAAATCTCACAAGAAGCAAAAAACAAGCAAGGATTAATTGGTAACAACTTGTAAAAGATGTAATAACAACTGATTACCTGTTTGTAAAACTAACTTAAAAGTAACTGATTACTGACTGAACTCAGTGGCTAAGCCAAAACATTTTTGTAAAAAATGCACATAAAAATAATAAAAAAATATGGGAATGCAGTCGAGGATTAAATTCCCCGTAACACACATCTTGTAGCATATTTGTATTTTTATATTTCAAGGTGTTTTTTTCTCCAAAAAAATGCGTATTTCAAATCAAACTGCTGGTTTCTAGCAAGTGTTCAGACAAGAAAAAACAGTCAGAATATTTATCGATAATAGGATACAAGTGTTTTTTATACTTCAAAACCAATTTCATCAAAATTTACTTACGGAATTGATCAGTGGGATTCATATACTTCCCACTTTTAGTGGTGTTTATTGACCTCCTCCCCATCTTGCTGGTCTAGAGCAATCCCTGGACAATAAATCAATTCAACTCGGTTCACTCTCCTCTTCTTCTATCCACGGTAAGCAACCATTCTAACAATTGTTTATTATAAAATATGGAATGCGCCCTACCGGCCTCTTATGTTATTGGCGGAACAAAACAAAAAAACGTTAGTTCGCAATAAAACAAAAATGCAGAGTTTTTAATCCCAAGAATATACACGAGTCTTCTTTAATAAATATAAAAATGATGTTCCTTCTTCACAAAAAAGGTTGGGTACAGTGTACACATTACTGTCTTTGAAAATATTACGTGGTAAAGTCCAAAATTCTCTCACGGTAACTATAGCTTTCGATTTTTATGTTGTCTAGTTTGTTTCTTCTATCTTTATACTTCTTTCTATGAGTGCCGTTCACAATACTTTCTGTTACTTGATTAATTCTGCGTTAAGCGACGTAGGGAGGAATAATTAGTGATCCAGTGCACCTTGGCTGCCACTAGCTTTTGTCATGCCGTGACGGCGTAGAGTGTCTTTAATGTTGTCGATCTATTTTTTCCGCGGCCGTCCTCTTGCTATTGTAGCTGATCTGAGATGTAGTGCTTGTGATGGTATTTGATCTTGCTGCATTTTAACGAGATGGCCAAACCACATGATCTGCTGTTTCTTGATGAATCTAGTAAAAGGTGTCGTTCCCACAATTTGCCTGATAGTTTCATTATTCACTCGATCTCGGATGGTTAGGTTGGCTGCTTTTCTCAGGCACCTCTCGCAGGTGGTGATTTTGCGTTTATGTGCTTTAGATATTGTCCATGTTTGGCACTGGTAGCTTAATGTTGGAATGAATATGCTGTTAATAATCTGTCTATTTGCACTCTTAGTTATGCTTGGATGTCTTAATAATGGTGACAATCGTCAGCTGTGGAAATATAATTCTAGGACGCGAGAAACGCTGTCACGAACTGCTTAGCCACAGAACTGTTCAGCCAGCGTTTTTATTTTTAAGGGAAAAACCCCGATGATAATCATATTGTGAGATCTATCTGTTTCAGTATATATGAATACCTCGTGTGCAAATTTTCGTATTGGCGACCCAACTATTTAAGCTGCCCATTTACGGGTGACTCAACTGTTTAAGCTGTCCACTTACAGGTGACCCAGCTGTTTAGGCTGTCCATTTACAGGTGACCCAACTGTTTAGGCTGTCCATTTACAGGTGACCCAACTGTTTAAGCTATCCATTTATAGGTGACCCAACAGGTTAAGCTGTCCAGTTACAGGTGACCCAGCTGTTTAGGCTGTCCATTTACAGGTGATCCAGCTGTTTAGGCTGTCCATTTACAGGTGATCCATCTGTTTAGGCTGTCCATTTACAGGTGATCCATCTGTTAAGGCTGTCCATTTACAGGTGACCCAGCTGTTTAGGCTGTCCATTTACAGGTGATCCATCTGTTTAGGCTGTCCATTTACAGGTGACCCAGCTGTTTAGGCTGTCCATTTACAGGTGATCCATCTGTTTAGGCTGTCCATTTACAGGTGACCCAGCTGTTTAGGCTGTCCATTTACAGGTGACCCAGCTGTTTAGGCTGTCCATTTACAGGTGACCCAGCTGTTTAGGCTGTCCATTTACAGGTGACCCAGCTGTTTAGGCTGTCCATTTACAGGTGATCCAGCTATATAAGCTGCCAATCAGGGGCTGTGTGGTCTCAAGGCATCGCGTCCGCCTTAAGTGCTGGAGGTCCTGGCTTCAAGCCTCAGTGAAGGCCCGTGTGTATTGTTGCGCAAGTTTTAAAAAATCCCTTGGCAGTTGGAAACCGAAAAGGAGTAGCATAACAGCGCTGCACGGGCAAAATATGGAGTTAAAAATATATCCAAAGTGTTTCAGGATCCTCGTCGGTGCTACGGAGTTCGTGCATTGCGCTGAGATTTTTCGGACTCAGATTTGAGTCAGAAGTAGAACGGAGCACTTATAGGTTACTATCCTTGTGCCATGGCGTTGATCCACAGTCTAAAGATGCCAACCTTTAAGCCTCAGGCGCCGACAATTAGTCACCCACGGCCCACTGGAGATATCTATTTTCTACTGGGTCGTGACTCACCTTACCACGGTCGAACTCTTGTCTGCCGCGTGAGAGCCCCGCGTACTAACGGATCGGCCAGGCGCTTCTCTCTGTACTTTATTCATTTTTTTTATTGTACTACTTTTGCCAAAGTTTACAAAATCTTCTAAGATTTGTAAAGAGTTAAATACAATGTCTTTCCGAATCTTAATGACTGACAGCCCCCCCCCCCCCCCCAAAAAAAAAACACACAGAGGGATCGTCACTGGAGCTAGGTGTGCTCTCATCAAGAAATTTTGAAGAGGGAGTAGGGGCCTTCAGCTTCATAATTTTCTAGGGCTTAAGCCCCCCCCCCCCTTTTCCTCCCGCCACAGATGAGGGAGAGGTGGGAGGGGGTACTCAAGGTCTGAGCGCCCAGGTTCCGACGTCTGTGAATTTAGCTACGGAGTTCGTTCTTTGTGTGACGTTGGTCGCAGGCAGCTTGCCTTCTGCGAAGAGATACTGAGCGACCGGGGATAAAACCTGGTACAATACAAATGATCCTTTGGACTTTGAATGGCGATTCTATTCGCTTAGTTTACCCCATCTTGGTGACTTCATAAGCAGTTTCCGGGAAAGTTCGATAGTATAGGGGTCTTAGGGTGTGAAATGAATACCGTCTTACACTTATCCTACATCCCCCCATAATATTGGACTTTCCCGGTAACTCCCCATGGAGTCTGGACGTCACAGAGATAGGGTTAACTAAACGAAAAATACCTAACCGTTTGAGCTGCAGTGAAATATAAAATGATGGTTTTGACTTTAAACTGTTAAATAATAGTGTTAAATTCCCTTTACATGCCAATGGCGCATCGGAGATATGAAGACTCATATCTTTATAGACCCAGATGGATGATGTAGGGCCGGTCGTCTTTACTTCCCATGGCTTTACCTAGTCTCATTTAAGGCTGGGTCGACCTGTAGCCAAGGTCAGGCTTGAAATAAGTCCAGCACCATGCGGATTTGAAGCCACGACCTTCAGATTCTCAGGCAAGCAGCTAGCCGCTTCACCACGCAGGCTTCCAAACTGTCTCTTATTGACTCTTATATACGTTTTTCTTTCATCATTTCCTGGTTGGTGGTAGTACTTAAAAAAAAAAAAATAATTAGAAACTAATATTAAAAGGTAATTAAGATAAGTTACTCAACTCTTCATTCACATCATTTGTTAGAGATAGTAACTATCAGCCTGTAGTTATTTATGTTTTGTTGAAGTTAAAGCTTATTGCGGTAAAAAGAAAAAATATCGACTGATCCAGATGTCCAAGTCCAAGTCCTTTTAAGAAAAAAAAGAAAAGCTCGACCACGTTCAGACTGCTGCTAGCTAGCCTAGGCTGCTAACAGTCTCCGCCTATATTTGTGGTCTGGGTTATTTGCGTCACTTTCGTGACTGAATACTGGTGTTTGTGCCATTTCTGGCTTAATGCTTCCCTCCGTATCAAACCGCTCGTCCTGTTGTCACTGGTGCAAGTCTTCCTTCTTCATTCGTGGTGTTTCCTGTTTGTTCTGTCTCCCTTTGATCTGGCTAGGCGTATCTCGAAGGAGAGCGAGCTTCCAAACACAACGACCTTTCGGGCCACCATTTATTGTTTTTAAAATTTTGAGTATTTTAATTTTCCAAAAAGTACTGAAAACAGTTTTTGAATGTGAATAGTTCCGAAATGTGAAAATTTTCCGCGTATGACCATAGTGGTCTTATAGTTGTCTTCCTGTAATATGAACGGGTTAGTCGTGTATTGGATATGTGTGTGGGAGTTTGTGTGGAGTCTTAAGCGAGTCCAGTCGTCATTTGTTTTATTATGTGATCGGGTTGTGTTGATAGCTAAGCTCCGGTGTACGTAAATACCATATAACCGGACCGTCCCAGCTCACGCTTTGAGATCCAAATGATCGGCGATGAGAATTGTTGTGGCATGATGGGCAACGAACTCAAGTGCTCTCAGTGGGAATGGGTTGGGGGGTTAAACTCATAGTGCATCCGAAAGATTTAGGGAAAGGTTGGGGGGGGGGGGGGAAGGGGAGCGGAAGGCCATTCAGTCAATTCTCGTCGTTGCCGTCTTGCTGGATTCTAGCGTGGCTTTTTGCCGGGACCATGTGTATCACGTTACCAACCCTTTGCTATCATCCCAGTGATGGGGTGGTATTGGAGGCTATGCGTTCTAGTCCTGTCATTATCGTCATTCCATACTGGCTGTCAGTCATATTTTTGTTACATTCCCTGTCGGTCATGTGCATGTTAGTCTGTCATTATCGAGTCATTGTATTCCCTACTTGCTGTCAGTTGTTGGTCAGTCATATGTGTGTTACGAGTCCTGTCGGTCATGTGCATGTTTTTAGTCCTG